GTGTGTGTGTGTGTGTTATAATGACCTTCAAGGAGTAAGTCACATGCGATCCAAGGGACAAGGGAAACACATACATGCAACACTGTAAGGAGTGCTGGCACCATGCTTGTTAGGCTGTAGCCAGAACTTCCTTTTAATAACAGGACTAACAAACTTTAAGCATGCTTATTTTTCTTTATGATTTTGCTGTGCAGAGAAACAAATACACTGTTAATGCCTTTGACTGTGCTGACAGGGATATATGTCAAGTTTTGGGTGGGTATTGAGCAGTGGGTGGTAACAGCAGACAAACTGGGGAGTAGGGATATTGAAAACTGGTTCAAAATGAATCCCAAAACAAGGATTTATTTGAACCAGTGTTTACCTTTCTGGTTACTAACTGACAAGCACTGATACCCATCATCCTCCTTGTCTGGTAGAGTGTGGCACTCCACAGGGAGGCGTCCCTCATCCAGGAGTGTCCAGCAACTGTCCCGCAAGACTTCGCAGAAACTCCGGCAAGGCAACACCGGCGGTGGAACCGGAGGGCCACACTTTGGTACCAAGAGAAGGCAGAAAAACGACTCCAAACTATAGTGGCAATGTGACCTCAACAGCCATGCCCATTCGTTAAGCAGTACCTGGACTTCCTCTACACTGCTCTGGTTGAGGTAATTGGGTACTACAAACTGTTCCCCAACCATGGAGGAGCAAAAAGGAAGAGCAGTATCTAGCAACAAGCATTGTGAGCCTTCTACGGCTGGTGCTAATTTAGCTTCTTCTGTGTGGCTTTCAGCTGACCATCTACCTACAGCTGTCTGGTTAATTAAGGTTGCTTGGCTAGGCTTTTGCTCACTGACTGATGTTTGACTAGCATCTAAGATGTGACCCATTTGGCTAGTCACTTCTTTCTGGCTAGTTGCTGAAGTTTGACTAAGCACTTGAAATTCTTCAGCTATAGGTATTAAGGTAGTGTCTGATCTCTTTCTAGCTGTTTGTGGTTTGGTAATGAATATTTTTTGGGTATTAGTTGGTGCTTGGGTTGTAGAAAGTGCCTGGCTAGCAAATGAAGCTTGTGTAGTATGTAACACTTGGTTAGGTAAAGGTTCCTGTTTAGGTATTGATTCACCAGCTGGTAACTGAGTAACTTCCACAAGTTCCTTAGTTAGCTGGGTAGTGCCTGAGTTGTTGTCTACAATTGGGATTACTAAATCTACTGGGGTGGAGTTGTCAAAATTAAATTTTAGCTCATTTGTTTGGGACAATACACTACCACTATCTAACCCCCTAACATCAGTGGACATGACTTCTCCTTGTTGGTTTTTCTCAGAAAAGCCCTGTGTTTCAAAGTCAGATCCTGTTCCAAATCTAGACTCAGAGCCAGACCAAGGACCTGACTCAGTGTTTGATGTCAACTCAGACTCAAGCCCAGATCCAAGTCCTGATACATTTTCCGTAAACCTTAAACTATCAAATCTTCTAGAACCCATAACCTTTAGTGACGATGTGCCATTACCAGGTCCTGCTGCTAATCCAGATTCAGACTTGAATTCAGAGTCAGACCAAAGACCTGACCCAGTGTCTGATGCCATTTCAGACTCAAGTCCTGATACATTTTCTGTAAACCTTAAATGAGCAGATTCTCCAGAACCCATACCCTTTAGTGAAGATGTGCCATTACCAGGTTTAAGTTTGCGTGACGAAATTCTTGCTGTTCCCTTTTCTGATGTATGTTTATTCTCTGGTTGTGTTACAGTGGTTAGTCGAGGAGCCTCAGTGGATTCATCCCAAGTCTGCACAACTTTTTGGATCCCATGTCCTTCATCAATTATCTCTGCTCCAACTCTTGCAAGATTCTCTGATGGTTGTTCTCCACTGCCTGCTGGACTGCCAGATCCTTCATTGTCCACTGTTGGGGGCAAAGTTGTAGTACCAGTCCAGGACCAGAACCAAGCATCAGAGTGGACCACCCACAGGGCCAACAAAAGCAAAATTCCAAACTGGGTCCTCATCTTAGACATAATGTCACGTCCACCCGCTTGATCAGGCTCCCAGAGTGAACTATGACATGTCCAGACAGCCACTACACTCCTCACACACACACACTTCCCTGCTCTGTCTCCACAGACACTCCACTCGGCAGAGAGGAAAAGTGAAGAGGAGTGCCCCATTCAAAAGAGTAAAGGGGGAGAACAGGAGGAGGTGTGCTCCGTATTGGCTGCCTTGGCAATATTTCCTCTCCTAACTCCTCCTTCCTCCTCCTTCTCCTTTTGTCACAGCAGTGAAAAGTGATCTCTCCTGCTGACAGATACCTTAGAATTACGGCAGCCTTGCCTTTCAGTGTACAATACTGACGCTTTCAGTGTTTTAAAGAGAAGGGCAATTTGTTCCCCTTGGCTCGTTCTCTGTGTTTAAACATGATAATAAGAAAACTACAGATCTAGCTATAAAGAACTGCAAACTACAACACAGTGGGAACAAAAGTGTTGGTCATGTGTCTTCCTAAACAAAACAAAATGGAATTCTATTTTGTGGTGAAGGTTTGAAATATAAGGAGCTGTGTTAAATTCCCTCAAATTAGTCCCATTCTGTTGCAATAATGCAACTAATTACCGAGCAAATTTGCCATTGCAATATGTTAACATGTTTAACTATAATTTAACAAAAGTATTTTATTATGGTAATTGTATTATTAATATCATAATGGTTAAATATATCTAAACAAAACAATTCAAAACCATTAAATAAAAAAAGAAATCCAATCCACTGGAGCCAGTGAAAGTTTGTATAATTTGTTTATACTTATACATTTTTTTCCTCTCGCTTGGATGTGCCCTTAACCTAATGCCCCTGCATATATTGTCAGTGCTCTGCATGATGCCATTTATTGTTCAATTCAATTTAGACCCTGTTTTCAGTGCTCTGTGGTTACACAGTAATCAAGGCCTCTCTTTCTTGTCCAGACTGGTTTCTCATACTGCCTATGTGATCAGTTGACAGAGACCCTCGACATCTGCTAATGGGAGCTTAGTGATAAAAGAACAGGAGGTTTGTGCAAGTGTATCTCAGATGGTAGTGGGCTTTAAAATAAAGGGAAGGTTTTTGTGCATGTAACCTCACTTGCTGATAGACAGGAACTTGGGTCATTTGTGCACAGCATGCCGATTCCACATCCATATGTTATGCATAAATGTATTGACACAAGCTTGACAACTTTATCCTGTAGCTCTCTGTCAAGGCCTGGGTTCACTGATGATCCAACTGACCCCTGTCTGCAAGATTATGTTTGGTTTACCAAAAAGGGTGGGTGAGCACCAAAGAAATTGAGAAAATGGAAAATACTGAGAACTGCAAAACTTAAAAAGTGAATGCAATGTAGCCTTCACCAGTTGCTGTGACCTGTTAAAGAAAATAATACACTATAGCTCACTGATTTATCACGAGGACAAGCTATTTTTGCACTTTTTTCCTGCTGAAAATTTCAATGAAAGAAAAATATTGTGTGTGGTCATATGAAAAGCAGCTTCCTTTTGGGCAAACATGACTAAGGAACTTGTGATTGTCTTAAGCTGGTGTCTATCTGACTTTTAACTATAAGAACATTTGTTCCTTCAAGGAACAAAAGAGAGTAAAAGTCTATTTTCTACTAAAATATATGTCATATTTATCAAGAAATACTTTCTATACTGAGTACAGTGATACAATTCACAAGACGCTGGTTGGAGCATGATTACTGTTAAGATAAATTAGTTGACCCTCTGGGCAATAATGAGTTAACCAAGCTACTGTTCACTCTTAAACTGTCAGAACCAGACAATTTAATTATAGCACAGCAGAATGACAGCTTTCTATAGAAAAAAACTTCATTTTCAAGGTGACTTTCAGGTAATGCTAAGCAAGAAAGGGACCATCACAAAAATGTTTCATGAAACATTTAAAGTCGCTTCAAATTAGCCACAAGCCAACTTTTGGACAGACAAATTCAGTGATCAAAGTTATCTTTAAATTGGTCTGTAAACCAAAATAAATTATGTTTATGGTAGGGGACCAGGGTAATAAACTGCCTTGTGATAGATGATGATGGTTAGCCTTAAACATCAGTGTTACCCTCTAATGGATTCATTGGTTCATTGCATTAGGATTTCAGAACAAAATACCAGCCACTCTGAAAATCTACAAGAATTTGCTAACCAGATCACTGTAACTTAATAATGGTAGAGGTTAACATTCTGAGAAATTATTGATCAAACAGTGATCAAAAAAGCCTTTGCCTTTCTACACTTTCCAACTCCTGCGGGGAGTCCCACTAGCATAATATGCTATTTAACCATGTCCCTTTCCGTTCTTTTAACTACACGAGATGCCACATCCTAATGACTCAGATAATACAGACGTAAAGAAGAAACTGTCTGAAAAAGAATGTATCATCAGGAGACACCAATCAGAGTGCCATTATTCCAAAGATGACAATAGATTCGCCTGAAGGTGCTTTTGTATGAAATATAAGAGTTTGGAATTTTTTTTTATTTACACTTGAAAAATGGAAAACTTGCCAAAAGACGTGGGTGGCCAGGCATACACTGTGTCAACTAGGAAATGGTCTGCTTATTTTTGTAAAAACCTGACAAGGAAAAGACTAAATTGCACTGAATGTAGTACGTTCACGCTTTTTGGAGTGACAGTTTTTTCAGCACAGGTAATCTGCAGTCATCATACCTTGAACTGTGCCTGTGTCCCTCTTTTCAACATCTCTTTGATGTCTACTACAGCCCGTATAGAGTAGAGGCTGTAAGTCATAATGACAACACGGCAAGAAGATTTCCTGTTTTCAAGAGTGGCATTTGTAATTGGAGCAGGTAATTACAGTTGAGTGGTTGAAAAGTTTGCACGGTACTGTTTGTCAAAGACATACAGTAAATTACTATTTTGCTGATGATACAGCTTTTTATGGGGAAATTCAAGTAGGCATAGAAAGTGCAACAAAATGTTTTTTGATGGGACTAAGAATTAGAAATTGTGGTTTTTGTCGCACAGAAAGTGTCTGACATATTTTTTTCCAGTGTTAACACACATACAGTATGGATAAGACTTGACAGAGAAGATTTCATGTGATTAGTAATTGAACATCTTCCTTGACAACAGTATAAATTACTTCCCTGCACTTTTGTTTTACTTGACAAATGAAGTGTTTCCTATTCTGGAGACTCTCAACTGTCTTTTATAATGGTTTAAGAACTTCCCTTTAACCTAGTTCACATGCTGCTCACCTGCTGTCAAACCTCTGACCCCTGACAGAGAACCATAATCTCAGTTGGGATCTTTTGTAATCTAAAGGGTCAGTTCACCCAAATTACAAAAAAAATACTTTTTTAGTGCTTTTGGCACCACTAATGGCATACCATTCACCTTCATTGTATATGGGTGGCGGATAGCATCAGCATAAAAGCAAAACTCTATCTATCTCCGTGGCTCATTACCAAGAGATGCTTTTACTGGTGAAGTGAGTGTACGCCCTAGAGACACATGTATATGTTAAAATTATGTCAAAGATGTTTTATTAAATCAATAAAAATCACATAATTATTTTGAAAATAATATATATGGCTATAGAGTCTAAGGTGGAGTCAAACTAGAAAAATGCTGACTATGCATGTATGTTTTTTTCAGTCAATTTTTACTGATTTGGTTTTGCCACTTTCTATTAAAAAGTCTTTATAACACGACTGTGTAGATATTACAGAGCAGTATTCCTTATGAATTTCTGTAATACCTGCGACCTGTGAAATCCTGAGATGTTTGGGGGAAGTACTGAAATTCCAGGCCTCCCTAGTGTCTGTTCTCACAATACACAGACAAAAGCATGAAACCTAAGACCAGGATTGAGTCTGAGGTCTGAGACCATCAATGGGAGGGTGATTGATCGACTAATTACAACACCAACAAAACCTGCTGAACATAATCCATGAGGGGGCAAAGGTGTCCAGTTATCTTCACCGCACAGCAGTATTTTATGCCATACGGACTGTCATTCAGATATTGAATTTCTAATCGAGTGCCAAATTCATCAGTGCTAAATATAGCTTTTGTGAATAATTTAAGAATACAATGGCATACATATGCAACACAATATCCTACACAAGTGGCACTGGAAAGAGGGCGAGTATGCATTTAAACTAATCCTCCCCTGCAACTTTAACTTTAACAAAGTCAAAACATGCAATATATACTTACAGTTACACATCTTTATCATTCAAAAGCAGCTAGACTCTACTGCAAGGCAACACTATCAAGTCATTTTGACCTGAGGTGTTACTGCTGTACAAACAGAGAGGCATTAAACTAGACACACGTTACAGCACGGGCTGACAATACAAAAACGTGAGGGTCTATTCTCTGTAGGCTGTAGAGCAGCTAGAGGGCCTTTTGGCAGCCCTCCCTGCACCTTCCCTGATGTTATTTCAGCAAGTCAGGGTCGTTGACCTCTCGCTGTGAGTCATAGCACAGTCACCGTCTCAGTGGTTATACAAGCATTAAGCTGCAAGGCACTCATAGCTGGGAGTTGTAAATGACACACAAATTAAGATATCCACAGACACTCATGAACGAGCCCACATATGGTTGAAATACACATGCACACACATACACACACAAACAAACTTGGGCTGCAGTCGCACAGCATGTCACAGCTGAGCAGCAGTGTAAACAGTAAGACACAAACAGACATAAACTCCAGTGAACATATGGCTGAACACACACATGCACACACAGACAAACACACACACACACACGATCCCTCTTCCTGAGCTGTAACCTTACAGCATGTCACAGTCGAGCAGCAGTGTAAACATATCTCAATTTGAATCAACCGCAGAAATAAAAACACATGAGGAAATGCCGGTAATACCATCATCTGATAATCTTCACTGTGCATCCTCTCTCTCTACGTGCTGCATTTGTCTGTCTGTATCCCTGAGCAACAGGTAGCAACAGAGTGGTGAATCACTGTACAGTAAAGGGACTATTCAATGGCTTTCAAGCTAAATTTAAAGCCTGTCGTTAATCGTGAAAACAGAGTGCACTTATCTCTTCTCTTAAAGGCACAATTGGTAATTTGTGGCCGTGTATCCTCGCAGCCTCATGGGAGTTAGTGTAATACGGT